AATTGCTACTTTAATGACCATTCTTTCGATATCCTCAGGGAGAATTCGAGCGTCAGGGTCTTCAAGCTTCAGACTTTTCAGGGCATTGGAGATTTCTTAGAGGAATGTATTAGGAAAATGGATCCTCCAGAAAACAAAAATAAATGTCACTTACCGATTTGAGCAACTTTAACATCACGGCTGTAAACAGTTTTGCGGGTTGCAAGTGTAGCTTCAGCTCGAGCCTTCTCACTATCACGTTCTGTTTTTTGAACTGCGGTCTCGGCTTGAACCTTGGCGAGCTCTCGATCCTGTTCTGCCCGACGCTGAGCCTCTCCAACAGTACCCAGTCGTTGAGCCTCTGCTACATCGATACGAGCTTGATTAATGGCACCCTCGTGGGCTTTCTTGCTGAGAGAGGCAAAGTAATTAGAGCCTGGAGCGTCTTTGAGTTCTTTTACGTTGGCGTTGTAGATTCTGAGGCCGAATTGTCCCAACTCAGATTGAATGTTCTTGAAGATATCCTTCTTGAATGCTTCTCTCTCTGTAAAAATCTTCTCCATTGACATGGAGCTGACGAGAACACGTGTTTCACCTTCGATGATACCGACAACAATCTTTCTGAGATGTGCGCCAGCATCACCATCATTGCTTTCGCCTTCAGCCAACAGCATTGCGAACTTCAAAAGGGCGTCGTCGCCATCCTCTGCGGCGCTCTCATGATTAGAGTCGGCAGTACGGGCATTATCGCCTCTGCGGTTGACGTCGGGCCCAATGGTGAATACAACAGGAATTGCCAACTGAAGTTTCTCCTTTGTCATAGCTTGAAGTGACAACTCATAGTCGCGAGGTTGAATGTTGAACCTTCGGACCTGGAAAACATTAGCAGTGCGGTGTGAGAGAATGAACATGAACCTACCTTTTGAAAGGGCCAAACAAAAGCACTCTTGCAAATTTTGACAGTCGCGATCTTCGCGCCAGTGATGGCGAGGTACTGTGAGTAGTTAGATACGTCGTCTTTAAGCGAATTAGGAACAAGTTCAAACCTCATTGGGAGAAGCAATTTGATACATGATGATTGATATCTGATTTTTCTTTGAACAATTGAAACCCTATCGAGGGGGATCTTGACAGACTTTATAGACTTTCGAAGAGGGGAAGATGTTTTCTGTATCATGCAATCAGTGGTTAATCTAGCACATTGAACATACTGAACTATGCCTGATCAGTCGATAAATGTGAGTACTAACTTGAGTGCGGGGTTATAGTGCTTCTGGAATACTCCTAAAAGTTCTCCAAGATTGCCTAATTCGCCGATAGTGAACTCTCAATTGTTGGTGAGCTCGTGATGCACTGCCAAGACGTCTAAGATAATGGTATAAATATTGATAAATGTGCTGAGGAAATTGATGATTTCTGATAGGTAATTGTAGATGTAGAGATGAGATGTTGTGGTTTGATTGGGAGAAAGAGATGGTCTGATATATCAGTACCTACCTAGATACCTAGGTAGTTCCTTCTAAAATGGTCTGATTCTTATTTGCCCAACACTAAATTAAAATGGTGTAGATCAGCTGATCAATTAATCTCTCTCGGAATAAATGAAGCTGTAACGGCGAAGACACTAGTAATTAGACGAGAGAACAATATGGAAAGAGCAATTGATAAGTGATGACGGAAGAATTAGCGAGCAGGAAACGTCGAACGGAAGGTTAAGAGTGACTATATATACATTGATTCCAAATCGCCAAGCTGAGGGCGCCATCAATAAGCAAGACATGTTCAAGGCGTACAGAACAACCTCACTGAGGTGTTTTCATGACAATTGTGGTGAATACTTCGTGAAAAGGCAGGGCGATAGCGGGATAGGATGCATCAACAATTGAGGAGCAATTTGATGTCAAACCCTTTGGGTTGACAAGGGACCCTCGTCTAACCAATAGCGTTAAGGTCTCAATCCTCTCGACTCAAGATCAAGATGTTACACTGCCGCCGTTCCGACGGTGTAGAGTAAGAACTTGGCCGTTTAAGACCAATCCCAAACATACACATTGACAGTTCCCTTACTTACGGATTAGGAAAAAGTGGGATAAACAAGAATGCTGTGGTAGGAAGTTTAATCCCCGCAATATCATAAAACCTTAATAGTGAAACCATAAAGTACCTAGACAGATAACATTTTAAGCTTATCAGCTGTTTGACCGCAAACAGGAACAATGTTGCGAAATCGGCAAAAGAGGAAGGTGCTAGCCTAAATAGGCATATATCATGCATTATAAGTTCGATGCCAGAGCCCTAAGGGGTATGGCTGGTCCAATGGTAACCATGTCCATTAAAATAAAATCCATTTTTCTGCAAACGGCAAATTTAGATGCAATCTTGACATCTTGGCAAGGCTTGCTGGGACAGCCTGGGATGCCGAGCCCCTAAGTTTGATGATCTTCCCCGGATCCACTGAGGACTTTCTAGCGAGCTTCTAGAAAGTCTCACCTGATCTCAGCAGCCCCACACAGCCATCGTCATATCTTACCTATTAAACTCTAAAAGTGTCCATCCCTTGACTAAGGCCGACGAGGCAGACAACTTTAAATGGCTACCTTATTCCCGCATATTTCAAAGCCTTGCTGTGCATATTAGGCAGCTAAATAACACATGTTTCTTGACACGGGGTGTAGCACAGCCGAGTGAGTTGTCCGAATACCCGACTTAACCAATCCGTGAGATCGCAATTTTTTTGGGTCCCGAATGCAGATTCCGAAATTTTAAGGAGATTTTGAGTCACATCAGATATGATAATTCGCAAAAATCAAAGATTAGATCAAGAGAAGTCACATACATCATCGATTGTTGATAGGCTTTCTTCCTAGTGAATCCGGTCTCGTGACTATTGGACCACTAAAATCTACTAGCACTTAGTAACGCTACTTTTGAGTCTACCAAGATTGCGAATTGCTGCAAAAGCAATAGAGAGTGCGATAATCGGATTTAAATAATCGGACGTACGAGAAGGCTCGCTCACATATTCTCGGCAGAGAGAGAACCAATACGTTCCTTCCCACAACCAAACCTTGATCTCTTCAGCCGCATCAAAAGTCATCATACTTTTGTACCTAGCTGTCAGCATGGATTCTAAAATACCAATACACGATCACGACGATGAACCGGCTCCCCCATCATACATGGACTCTCTGTCCTCATCATCGGTATCTCCTGCAGCATCGAAGACTTCGGGACCCTCCGCCCTCCCATCTACGTCCATCTCCTACGGTACCCAAATTCAATCCCAGTTGAACCACCTAAGAACCCAATTCAGCTCCATCCAAACCCAAAAGTCTCTTCTCGAGCACGCACAAGAAGAGAAAATTCTCTCTCTCCTTACAACTCAAATCCAAATCTATCTGTCCGAGTTTGCGAACACAGGTTTGAGAAAGGGAACATTGCTTTTGATCCCCGCACATTGTATTCAAAACGAAAAGGCACAACCGCTTGAGTTTGATAGAGAGAATCCTGGATATGACGTGTCTGCGGAGATAGGAGATAAGGAGAGTCTTAACGGTGGATCATGGTTCTGGGAGGATGAAGACATGGCAAAACGACTCGCAGAGGCTTTGAAACCCCGTCCGGAGCTACCTTCCAGACAAGTTGTTGCGAAAACAGATCCTAAAAAGGTTGCTCCCAGCCCAACAGGAAATATCAGCAGATTTTGGGGCAGGAAATCAAGTTCGAAGAGCGACGAAAAACCTGTGTTGGTCGAGGATGTGAAAGTTAGTTCAACTGTTCTGGAGCCGAGAGATAAAGTACATATGAAAGTGGATGCAGAAGAGGTTGTGTTTGAATATGAAAATAGTTTTGGCCTTTTTGAAACTCAACGAGGATATGGCATTATATTTCATTTCACAATTATCACCACCAGAGAGTAGGCAATAATTCATAACAGAAAGATTCAGAGATGCTCTTCTCCAATGTTTTTTGAAATCACGATTTGAGATATCTAAAATATCACAGACAGTATATTATCCACTATGGCGTTACCGTTTGTTGCTCCCGAAATGTTTACGCTAAAACAACTTTGGTACACACCCCAAATTTCAGGTAGATACAAGAATTCTCAACGGCACCGAAAGATTTTGAGCGATTAAAGGGTAATTTGATTCAGTGCATTATTTCTACATGTGATCTTAATGAAAATTGTCGTCATATCGTTATGTGTGTTGATTGAACCCAGGCCCCCATAAATAACATGATGCATAAAGAGTTTGTGTCAGTGAAAGTTGCGAGACTTCAACATAGTCCCATAAGTACAGTGAAAGGTATATGGAGTATAAGCCCAATTTGTGAAATGAAATTTGAGATAACATAGTTGACAAAAAACACAACCATTTGATTGATGAGATGAATCAGGTGACCCGAGTGGTTGTGGTGACTTAAATATTCGTCCTGAATTTCACGGTATACGCTGAGCGAGGTTCCCGAACGCATGAGAAAGGACCAGTGGTTATAAGAAGTAATACTCGGAGCTTTAATGCGACTGTCAACTTATTTGAAAACCGCACTCTGTTCTTGCCTCCGAGTGTATGTGTTGGGAGGGGAGGAGTGTATGAAGCTCCCAATTATTCGAATGATTGATCTGTCCCAGTAAAGGCACATAAATCATAGTTGAGCTATGGTAAATATACATAGCATCAATATTGATCCTTAAGTGATTAAAGTTGGTGAGACTAGTCGATGTATCAATCTTTACATTATCGCTCTGCTCCTCAACTTTTTCGCCTTTTGAACCCCAATTGAACATCATTCATTCCCTCTTCTTCCAGTAAGCGATCAGATCCTGTCCCTTGGCAAAATTAAAATTGAAAGAATTGTACGTGATCCAGCTCTGAAGACCTGCACTTCGTCGGCGTGAAAGTGCTTGTGGGTTAGACATTTCAAGTTTTCCCTTGAAAACCCAACGAATTTGTTAACGCATGACGACGAGCTTGATGATATAGATCCGACGTTCCCAGTGACTTTAGATTGCACATTTATAATGCTCCACGTCTCAGCAGCAGAGATACCATTTCTGTATAATGCATATCCTTTGCAAGTTGTAAAGGTGTGCGTTGGGTATGGTCAACGATGTTTATGTAAGCACCGAGATCGAGCAAGGCGACTACGACCTCTATTTGTCGATTGAATATAGCTTCATGTAAGATCGGGGGGCCTTTTCCTACAATGTCAATATCTGCTCCAAGAGATACGAGAAGTTTGACAATCTGCACCTGCCCGTTGACAGCTGCTTTTTTGAGAAGAACTCCATGGTCATTCCCATGAAGGTTCACGTCGGCATCGTGTTCAAGTAAAGTTTGCAGGATTCCAACACTGTCCCTCATAATAGCAAGGTGAGAACAAGATGCCACGATGGGACCATTATGTACTTTGTAACACCTAGGCCCATCAACGTTTGCACCTTGGTTGAGAAGAATCTTAACAATCAATGATGCGGCCGTGGCACTTTTGCATCCCCAAATCGTTTCCATTAATGGTGACGAAAGAATAGATTGCTCATTCTGAAATCGTCCATCAACATCAGCTCCGTGGTCAATTAGCCATTGGACCCGATAGACATTCCCGCAAGATGCCGCATATGAAAGAAGATTTTGACCCTTGATTTTCATATTGATATCAAAACCATGACCGATGAGCTTCTGAACTTGCTGAATTGACAGGGTGTCAAGTAATCCTCCTTTCACCTTGATTTCAGACATGCTGTCAACATTTCCATGTTCAATTGCAGTCAAAATAGCCGAAAAATAATCTTCTTCAAAGCAAGGTAATCTGAAGCTGAAACTTCGGTTGATATTCGCACCGTGCTCTAAAAGACACCTGATCATATCAAAATTACGATTGCTGGCTGCGAATTCCATAGGCGTCACATGAAGTCCATCTCCATTGATATAGAACGTTGCTAATTTAGGATTCCCTTGGATAAAAACCCGAAAATAATCAACTTGGCTATAACGAGCTGCGTACAAAAATGTCGAACCGTTATAGTGTCTATCGAAGGATGCACCGCGAGCCCCTAGAATTTTCAGGAGCGCTACTTCATTTGGGTACTGACGGAACTCAAGCCTGCGGGAATAACAGCGGCTAGTAACATAATGAACTATTGACTGCCTACTGCCAGTACGATCGTTGAGTTCCCAACAGTTGTCAATGTCATGTATTGTCGGATCGTTAATGATTAATGAGCAAATGCCGACATTAAGAACATGCCCCGTCAGTGCCCAATATAAGGGCTCTTGCAATGTTTCTTCCACACTCTGCTCGTGAGGGCATTCTAGCACAAATTTGACAGCTCGTATACCATTTTCAACATTCTTGTTTGATATTGCAATTTTCAGAAGTCGGACCCTCAAACAGGGCGTAAGTGGTCCATTGTGCATCAGTATGAAGTCGAAAAGTTCAGAGCTCCAGTGGAGAATATAATCTTCCAGGGCCATAATTAATGCAGCATGTGTTTTAGCTTCGTTGTTCAATAAGACAGTCAAACGACCAGAGTTTTTTTGCTTGAGAGCAACTTCCAAAGCGATTCGAACATTCTCGTCGGAACTATTGCTACCTGTATTGGCAACGGAGGATTTGAGGAAATCTATCTGCAGGGTGAAGAAGCGTTAAAATTTTGTAATCCAAAGGGTAGATAAGAGTTATAGGCAACATAAAGATGCTTGCGCAGAAAGAATTCAAAGATTTATTACTCGTACCATTTTATAATCTTTCTTGTGTATTGCCAAAGATAATGCGGTTTCTCTTTTACACAATTCATTCGCTTCAGAATGTGACAATGGGCTGGCCAAAAGAGCTCTAGAAACATTGATAAGGCCAAGACATGACGTTATCATGAGCGTTGACATGGCGTTTACTTTATCAAAATCGTCTAGTTTCAGTAATTCCGAAATTGTACAGGCGATGTCCTGGAGGTGTTTTGGGGGGTGTTTTCCTCCCAAACAAGCCCGAAGCCAGATTGAGCGCCGAACTGATGGTGAGCATAATTCGATGATTGTTGGCATATCGATATCAGAAGGAGATATGTCCCAATGCTTCATCCAATAATCTGATGCATATTTGAGAAACATGAATCGACCTTCATTTGAGATGTGTGGCTGGCCTTCGGGCGATTTTATAAAGCACTGGTGTTTAGTGTTGTTTTCTGAGAACATTTTCAGATAGAGATAAGAGACACAGATCTCAGCTAAGATTGAATGAGAATCTAGTCGACTCAAGCTATGTTTCCAGCCGGTCGGTGCAGGACTTGAGTCTTTCGACCTGAGGAACTCTTTTGCGGTCTGGTGAATGAGATATACTCTCGAATTGGATATGGAAACAAAAAGACCGCAAAGTCTTCGAATCCGTCTGGCGAATATTCCGGGGTCTTCAAGCTCAATATTTTCGAAAGATTGAGATCCGTCGTAGCACTTGTCTATATTGAGGGCAATATTAAGCTCGTTTAGTGTTAAAGGTCGCTCGGCCCCAACTACAATATGGAGTAATTTGGTAGCTTCTTGCTTATCTGGACTCTTACGCAGAATCGCCTCATAGCTGGGGTAATTTACGATCAGCACGAGAAAATGCAAAATATGTAGAACGAAGCAGGCAGAACGACATCAATTTTGTTGGCCAACACAAGATCTAAAGTAGAAATTACTTACGCCTCGTCAATTGTAGAAGGTAATTCAGCGTCTAATATTCTTCTAAAGATCTTTTCCTGACTACAAGCTATAGCGCTATGGCGTATCGTATCCATGATTAGATATAGCCAGAGATAGGTTCGATGTTCTGTGTCTTTTAGTCGAGAGCGGAGCCAAGTGTTAGTTTTCGGGGGAAGTTTGAGCTTATCCACTTCAGCATCAATAACAAGATTGATTTCCTGTTTTATCATTGCCGTAGTATCCTCACCCGCCAAGCGAATTCCTGAAAATGTATTTGTGAGACTTTTAAATTGCTCTTCAATCTCATAGTAAGGCCTACTGGTGATGAGAAACTTCACCTTCAGTGGTGGTAAGTCAGTATGGTTCGCCCAAGTCTTTGAATCGGCAGTCAAATTTGAAATAAGCGAGTCAGTGGAGAGACCGAAATTAGACGACCGAGTGACTCTGTCATGTACACTAATCTTATACAATTTTTGTAGTCGTTCAAGAAAGTAATCTCGCTCGGAAGACTCGCACTCGTCTAAAGCATCCAGCACACATATCACATTTCTTGCATTTGGATCCGTAGCTATGTTCTCCATGATAGCCCACATTTCCTGCACTGAATTCGCGATTTCAATATTGTTTTTTGCCCAACTAGGCTCTGTATACTTCAGGAGGTGTTTTTGAGATGAAAATATCTGATGAAGTAGGGCAGCAAGGGCTTTCGTAAGGCTGCGTTGCTCTTTCGAGATATCCTTGAAAAAGAAGTAACATACGTCCGTGGTTTGTTCTGTTGCGACAAGGTTTTCATCAACAAGCGCTCTCGAAAGGACACTTTTGCCATAGCCTGGGTCTGCCGAAATCCAGAGAACACCCGGCCCATTTCCTTGCTTCCAATCCATAAATGTAGGATGTTCAAGCACCCATTTGCACGTTCCTGGAATGCGAGAGGGATTTTGATTTTTTTGCAGTTCATACAGATTTCCTGTCCGGAATGACTGAAAACAAGCCTGGTAATCCTCGACCTTCTGCGAGGTGTTGAGTCCATTCGAAACCTTCTCTAGTAGGGTGCGTTGTTCCTCGATCGCTTTCCGGTGTAGATCACGATCAATGGCATGGATCATAAAACAAATGGAAATCTGTATGTGCATCGATAGCACATCGGTGATATGGGGAATGAGAGGCACAGCCTCTATCACATCACAATGGGCTTTCCTCAAATGTCACAAACTGATGCAAACGCACTCGATCCAGATCAAATAATCGCCAGGTCACACAGGAATCAAAGGGAATAAGCGTGTGGATGCACTTGCTAACAAAGAAATAAGAAAATCAGCCTCAGAACATGCGAATCGATCTATAGCAAGCAGCATCCGCTCTATAGCAAAAATTGCTATGGAATCGGCAATACAAACATGATGAATCAAACAGATATTAATGCTCTCCAAATAGTACCAGAAATAGGACCCAAAGAGCACAAACAAATACCCTAAGAAACTAGAACTCTTACAAGCAACTCTTTATCGCATACTAGTAATCCACTCAGTACATAGCGATTTCGAAAACTATCATCAACAATTTAAATACGAGAAAGCAATAATCCATTATTTATGTGGAGCATTCAAATCCTCCGAGTATATTATATATTGCCACAAAGTCCTTGCAACCTATAAAACCTGGCCTCTAGATATCAAGCCCAAATACTCATTCTGTAATTAAGCAGTTTAAGAACGATTACTGAAACAGTTAATGTATATACTAGCCAAATTCGCTAAATTCATTGCTATAATAGATTTCTATAAAAGCATATGCTCTAAAACATTATCAGAAAAATAGAAAGAAAGAAGGAAAGGGATCGATTGATCCAGGCGAACATAAGCAGGGAGTAGGAGGGGATAGATTTAGAAAAGCTACATGGAAGAAAATTGAAGCACACAGCATACCATATTGTAATAGAATATATACAAAAGCTATTCTTATAGAATAAAGCAGCTTTCAAACAAATATTATATAGAAGATCAGAAAGTGCACACAAAGGCGCTTAGAGAATTGGAGACAAAGGTGCAAGTGCGTTAGCCATTGCTTAGGAGGCTATTGAGGGTATTGAGACCCCATCCCTAGGAAAAGGGAATCATATAAACTAAAAGATCATCCTGCAGTTAGCCCAACTGTAATGCCCCCTGGGAGGCTCGTCTATACGGCCCGGTTGAAAATTACTAATAATAATAATAATAATAATAATGGCATGGATCAAGACTTCACATTGCAGGTCGAGCTTATTGATCTCATTGAACATGTTCTTCCAGTCGTTAAGTTTAAAGGTATCTCGAAGATGTCTAATGACAAACTTTCCAGAAAATTGGACAATTACTCGAGCTTTATAAAGTAAGATTTTGGTATATAGTTGAAGTATAGTTTTCTTCAGCTGCTGTTTCACTTTACTGCTCCGGTTTTCATTCGTGCTGGTCGGGTCTGAAACAGACATTTCGAGGAGAGAATATCGATCTATGAGTGGTGGGATCTTTTCTAATCCTTCACGACATCCCGCTTTCTCTGTGATGGGATTGATCAAAAGCTAAAGTATTGTTAACATGTTGGCCTGGGCTAATTAATCACTTTGCACTCTGAACAAGAGACCGATTGCCACATGCCTAACACTGTTCCATACTAACATTGAGTTATGACTTAACACAATCAAATATAAACAGCCACAAGTGACAGAACCAAGGGATATTTTTCCAATCTTTGAGAGGATAGATTTTTCCTAGACGTGGTGACATGTTTTCATGCATTTATAAACAGATATGTCCACTTACAGGGAGAAACATGGAGACGCCAGCCCAAGCTACAGCAGCATGTGGTTCACTCTGAAAAGCGAAATCAATAAAACTCTTGGCTGCCATCAGAACTTTGACAACTTTCTCAATCTTATCCTCAGATCGACTGGAGGGAATTGAAAAACCATCCAGCTTTTTCCTCATTAACTGTACTAATGTATGGTTGGAGATTGGCGCATTTCGGCTATTGTTTCCCCCGAACGTTGTATTTAATTCATGGAGAAGGATTCGAGTGTAATCTTCCATCTGAAAATTGCGGGGTTAGCAGCGATCGAATCTTTCTCACACAGATATCGGGAATCGATTCCACCACTGTACTCCATGTGAACCAGCTGATATCAAAGAAATCGGTCTGAAGAAATGAGAACGCTCACCAACTCCGGCTCCTGGACTTTCGAAGTGATATATGCTTGTAGCCAAAGGTCCTTCCACTCGTCTGGTTTTATGGTCCCCCTGAGTTTAGTCTGGACAGTTGGGATGTTCGTCGGATACGCTGGAGCGCTTGGATATTTGACTCCCGCATCCATGTTAGCTGGGTTTTCAGTTGGCTCCTGTAAATTAATGGCGGCAGCAGTTGAAGGTGCGATGCTCCATTTTGCTAGCTGTTCAACAACACCTGGTGCTCCATGAGGATCATATCTGGACTCCCCCCGCAAATAGCCCTTTGCTCGTTCTATTTTATTCCTGACGCCCATGATATTCGCGAGACCTCATAAATCCGCTTACCGATATGTGCCGCAAGCTTGTCGAAACGGTGGCGACGATGGTGTATCATGAAAACAAACCATTGCGATGTGTGGTGGGGCTAATAAACAAGGCTGGTTTTGGCCCCCAACTATACAAGATATAACCATCGCGTCTAAACACCAATGACTTTGAAGAGGCTTCAATAGAAATTTGCCTTTCACAGATATCAATGTCGTGAATTATATTTTATTGTCTTTGAGGTTATTAACAATCGGTTCAATTCCGCACATCGAAATGCACAGACCGTCTCTTTAAATTTATAAAACTACTGAGGTTAGGTAGGTAAATGACAAACTCTATTTTTGAACACATTCAATTCTTGGCAATTTCCAGGCTAATGCAAAGAGCGAGAAAGTTCTCGTGGCCATGATCCATACTTGCTGGTTCTTTGGATATGCAAGGAGATATAAATTGAGTCCCGCAGTATGATACTTTTATAGCATGGATCGGGTACGTAAGTTACTGCAACGACAGCGTCAACGGCCGCGTGTGTGCTTCTCCACAATTGGGACATGGCTGCCATAAGGTTTGCAAGCTTGTGACTTGGGGGACTCAGCTTTTTTGTATAACCTCATGTTTGTCCTCATGATGCGATCCTTTGTTTTTGATCTGTGTATTGTCTTTTTATCGCCGAACGAGCCGTATCACCATGTGGAACTCCTTGCCAGAGAAACGCCGTTTTGTTGTGATCTTCTCATCCATCACAATCATCGTACTTTTTGGCCTTAGTTCTGAGTACCGGTACTCATATCTTGATCGTCAAACGCTTTTCTCCACATTCGGAAATCCAGCTCTACCGTGGATTGCTACTTCCAGTACTTTTTGGGCTTCGTTCGCTCCACTATTGGCAGCTGCTACACCGCGATGCACACCCCCGGAGCTTAGTGGCAAAGCATATTCGATGAGTATTGGCAAGAGAAGAGCCGCGGAGCACATTATCATGGATGAAAAGGATGTCGAAACGATGCGACGATCCCATACTTGGTTCGTTGATCAACTTATGCAAAATGCCCCGAAGTTGGAATTCAAGAAGGGAACCCAGGGTATTGTAACATCTGCAGGAGGTGATTATTTCCCTCCACTTCTCGTCAGTCTTCAATTCCTTCGACGCACCGGATTTAAACTGCCCATCGAAGTCTTCCTTGCCACACCGGATGAATACGAACCATTGATGTGCGAGACAATTCTTCCCTCATTGAATGCGAAATGCCTCGTTCTTTCCGATATCATCGATCAACACGAGCTGCCATTTTCTTTCTCCAGATACCAAATAAAAGCATTTGCGATACTATTCTCATCTTTTGAATCAGTTCTTTTTCTCGATGCAGATAACTTTCCTGTCTATTCCCCCGACGATTTGTTCACATCCACACCTTTCACATCAGAACATCTTGTCCTGTGGCCAGACTACTGGAGCCCGACACCCTCGCCAACTCTTAGTAAGATAATTGGTCTCGAAGGATCCATCTTAAACAATCGCCCTACAATTGAAGCTGGACAAATTTTAGTCAACAAAGCACATCGAACTGAGGCCTTGTTACTCGCAGCATACTATAATGCCTACGTTGATTATTATTACCACCTTATGACTCAACGAGGTGTAGGAGAAGGCGACAAAGAAACTTTTTCAACGGCTGCCCTCGTTCTTGGAAACAGTTTCTACACCGTATCTCAGTTATCTCGTCCCCTTGGTTCACATGGAAATGGCGCAGCCGTTCTGCAAGCTGACCCCATGGAAGATGTGAGCTCAAGAGGAGAGGAAATCCCAAGACCATTTTTCATCCATGCAAGCTGGCCGCCGAAGCTTAATCCGCTACACAATTACCAAGGTTCGAGGCAATGGGGTAGTGAAGAACACTCATTGAGTAAATTCGATGGTTTAGACGTCGAACTCTCAGCGTGGGAGTATATGGTACAAATGTCATGTGATGAAAGCATTGTCTTTAAGAGTTGGGGGAATAAAACAGAGAAAAGGGTTTGTGAGCAGACCAGGCAAAGCTTCAAAAACATGTTTGGAGGGGAATATAACAAGTTGGGCGGGTGAATGGAGATTGAGGAATCTAGCTCCACTATATTTATGATTTGCCCATGGTGGCAATCCAAGCAATCTCCCAAGCAATCTCCCAGGCAATGTGAGAGATGGCATAAAACTTCAAATAATGATTGAAAGTTCACTTGTGTAGAAAGCCTCTAGACTTCGGATGAGCAAGTCTAGTCATACAACAAAGGTAATGTCTATTGGCCAGCGATGGGCTCTTATTACAACCAGACTACTTGAAAGCTTTATCTAATCATTTCGCTTGCGAAAAGGTATACGAAAACGAAACGCTCAGAAAACCCCTTTTCATGTTTGCTGATTAAGCTTTATGGATAAAAAAGTTTAGAGCATCTTTTTCTCGACTTTGCTACTTACAGGCCGTCCGAAAATCCTTGAACCTCAGGAGATCCAGTGTTGGAATCACTGGCGTCAGATATCAAGGAATTCGGGAACGAAGCTCAAGACCCGGGTCCAAAACTGAGACCAAGAGATTGCATTCATATTCTCTTAGCTATATCGAAAGAGTGGCCCGCATTTGCACTTGTGAAGATAGGACATCCTCATACCATCTGATCCACCAGATCTTTTATCAATCTTCAAGTTAATCTCAGAGTCCGAACTAATTCGATTTTCATTATCTGTAAAGAGTATACTCTGTGGATCTCATCTTTTGTTGGCGCATATATCGTATTTCAAATCATCTGCTCAAGTTTCATCTGAGTTCATCCACCAAGTGATTCATACTTATCATTCTGAAGAACATTTCGAAAATGTCAAAAAAAGACCTAGAGGCCCAGCAGTCTCCTATCGTAAGCTATCGGAATGATAGTATATGCATTGAGCATACACCACACTACCTTAAAGACAAGTTTAGCATGTCGCCCTCGTGTAATTTTCCATGTCTGGTGCTCAAGGAAAGTGGCTCTTGCTTATAACAATCTCTTTATACAATGCTACAAAATTTCCATCACTGGCTCGCAAACACCGTCGTACTGAACTTTCAAACTAGACAGCTTACATTCATTATCTGGATCTTCCCCTCTCATTCTATCTCCTCACTACCACCTACCTCCTGTCTTGAATACACCACAAATAGCATGCATGAGGCCGATAGTTCCACAGCCATTATATCTCCTCATTGATACTCCATACTCAACTTCCACCCACAATACTGGAAACAAGCCACTGGAGCGATTTTGAAGAAAGCCTTAAAACCTGACTATTCCGTTCTGAAAGCATATAGAGTCATTGCACTTCTAAACTGCCTTGGAAAGATAAGCGAAAGGATATTAGCTCAAAGATTAGGCTATTTAGCAGAAACTATTAGTTTATTACACAAAAGTCAAATTGGAGGCCAACAAAAGAAATCAGTAATTAATACAGCTTTTCTTTTAACTATGGAAATCGAAAGAAATAAGCAAATTTACAAAAAGACTTCAATTCTATTTATAGATATAAAGGAAGCCTTTGATTATATCTTAAGAAATCGATTATTAGAAATTTGTAAGAAACTAAAACTACCAATAAATCTGATTGCTTGGATAACCTTATTCCTTTAACAAAGATAACTCAAATTGTCCTTCAACAATCAAATTGAATCTTTCAAGTCTATTTCGACTGGAATACTACAAGGTAGCTCTATTTCTCCAATCCTATTCCTAATATACATCAGAGATTTATTCTTTTCAAAATCAATCAAATTCCTTTCTTATATTAACAATATGCTTTGATTATAAACTCATCTTTTTAAAAAAAGAATATTATATCTCTTGAAAAAGCTATAAAACAAATTTACAAATTTAGCTCGAAAAACACTATTCAATTCGATTTAGCAAAAATGAAATTAATACACTTCTCAGCTTCCAAGCTAATTAAAGATTACTTAATCAAACTACCTAATTCCAATATCATTACACCCCAATCCCTAATCAGATAACTAGGTATATAATTTGATTCAAATCTCAAATTCAATCAACACATTAATATTCAAATCACACAAGCAAAAGAAGCCTTTTATCGAATAACTCGACTAACTAATATGGAAAAAGGCCTAAGCCCGAAAGCCCTTCAATAGCTATATATAGTCTGTATAACTAGTATAGCAGATTACGGATTAGTGATTTGGTGGAGAGGACAAGCCTACTTCAGGAATAAAATACAAGCTCTTCAAAACCTAGCTTTTCGAAAAATACTAGAAGTCTTTAAAACCATTTTAATTCTTTTAATAAAAATCGAAGCAGGATTAAAACTAGTAAATATTTGATTAGATTTAAATATCAAGCAATATACCTTTTGATTAACAAAACTCTTACCCAAACATTCAATCAACATCGAAAAAGCTACTCTAGCATATCAATACGCTAATCGAGAACCAATTAATACTCCTCAAAGAAAGCTATATAAACCAATCCAACTTGATAGAATAAGAGAATCAATTAATAAAAAATTCGATTCGTTCTCTCTCGAAAAGATTACTCATTTCTACTTTCCACCATGGAAAAAGGAAATCCCTTTCAAAATCAATATTAGTAAGACTTCAAAAAAAAATGCAGCAATACTTCATAATATTATTTTCAAATATAGAGATCAAGATACTATCTATATCTATACAGATGCCTCTTCTACAGAAAAAGGAATAGGCATTGGTGTAGGGATAGTAACAATACAATTGAATGATCAAGTTTTATATCAAGAATAAGTGAATATTGAAAGCAATCAACTGGTTTATAATAAAGAGCTATATGGAGTTACTCGAGCTATTGAATATGCTAGTTCAATTGCTAGTAGTAGAAAGAAATTCAAGGTTTATTCAGACAATCAAGCAGGCCTACTACGACTAAAAACACCCTCGGATTACCCTGGTCAAGCCTATCAAATTCGAGCAATCAAAGCAGCCAAAGCTATTATAGCTAAAGGAGCGGAAATATCCTTGAATTGAGTACCAGGACATACTTCAGTAAAGGAAAACGAGCTAGCAGATAAACTAGCAAAGGAAGCAACTACAATACGATCTACTTCGAATGAAACTAGTTTCGGATTATTAGAAACGATAATCAAAGAATCCTCCTTTGATTAATGAAGCTCGACTCTCAATCAATATAAATTCAGATCAAACCAAACAGCATTAACCTATTCAAAGCTATTTCCATAGAAAATTGAATTGAAAATCAAGTTATCAACTAAAACAAGGCGAAATACAGTTAGCGCTTTTTTTTAATTGAAACTAGATCACAGTTACATTAAATTATACTTATATCGTTTTAATCATTCCAATAATAGATGTATATATAATAATATTGAAATACCTCAACACCTTTTGATCAGTTGCCCAATATACAAAGCGGAAAGAAAAGAGATATTCCAGAATATACCATTTTCTAAAATCACTCTACAATTTCTACTTCATACGAAAATAGGAATCGAATTAACTATCAAATTCATTAATACAACTAAAATTGCTACAAGAGCCTGGCATTTATCAAGGGCTCAAATGGAAGAAGAAAGAGAAAAAGAGAGAGAGATTGAAGAAAGAGAAAGAAAGGAAGAATACTCCACAGAGTAGATTTCCTTATTGTCTTACTATATGTTATACGTATAGTAAGTGGGCTTAGGTCCCCAATGTTCGTTTGCACTTCCCCAAATTGTTTATTCCTATTATTGTAAAATAAAAAGTTATCTACTAGGCCCTTAAGGCCTAGTCGTCCTATATAGTCTTAGACTGAAGGTGGACGTAAATTCAATCAATCAATCAATCAATCAATCAATCCATACTCAACTTCAACATCATTTACCGCCAAGAAAGAATAACTTTAACGGCAACAATTAAATTATGCAGGGTTAAATACATTTACTAACAGTTCATCTTCTTTGGTTAACTTCATGAAACGGCACGGAATGGGTAAGGATGGAAATGAGAGTTTGTTTGAAAACTTGAGAATTGCCAAGGGTGAACGTATCATAGAAATATCACATATCAGGTACATTAGACATGTTTTATTTGAGTTGTAGTAAACTATTGTTGATCAGAACCGTAGCTAATATCGGTAGTCAGTCCATCGCGAACCATGCAATTGTCTCGTTGTCTTCCGCAGGCATGGAATGAACCGCTCTCAACCGTTTCCTGTCCCCAAATGCCGTGTCAACCCTTTATAGTCTGCTATTCTACCCCTAACCTGCATTCTGCTCTCTGAATCAAGACTGTGCCAGTATGCGATGAAGCCATGTAACTTTGAAATATTAGCCAGTTCCCACAATCTTCTCTCCTGTAAAAACATACTTATGCCGAATATGCAGGTAGTCCATGATTCTCAAACAATCCAGATGATCCCGGTAATAATCTTTGTCGTTCTCCTCCAGTACTATGATTATCTTGCTTCGGAGCACGATACGCATTGATAGACTTAAGCCAACGTAGCAAATAAGAGCCAGTTACTACAACGAGCATGGCCATGGCGGTAGCAACAAAGGTTAAAGAGCCGATGAAAACTACACATGTCAGAATGGCGACTAGTATATAGAAGACATCTCTCAAAATTTCCTGTACAGCGGATAAACTCTGGTTGGCACACCATTTCACGCAGTCGCAGATGTCTGGGGGAGTAGGTGACATGTTTTATTTGTGAGTTGAATAATTTGAATCTTGTTGTGTTGAAGGTCTCCTGATGATCGTAAAGTATCGAGGTTGGAAAAGCTTTCGTGTTGTTTCGTAGTCGAAAGTTAGTGACTGAAATCGTGGAGTCCTTTTATGTAGAAATGGTTGTGCTTGTACTGTTCAAATTTCTTGAAATTGATGAATGAATAACCGAGGTATAGAGGTATAAGGTATCAAAAATGTATATTTGTATCCAATATAGTCCGATTTAATCCAATAAGTGAGCCGTATGAACTTCCTTTTTGGTTATTTCACAAATTGTTCTCATGCCCCTCAGATTCTGAATGAACTCTTCTCAAATAATGGATTCAGTCACTATCAACCACATTTCAAAGAAGGGGAAATATGTAATAAATAAAAAAAGAAACAGCCACCTACTTAAACAAAACACTATGTAACTCAACCTCCTGTACATCTATTCCAGAATCTAACTTCGATATATCCTAACTCTTTGAGCACATGATCAATTCATCACGAAACTAAGGGACATCATATTCCAGAATATTTCAGGTATCAACTCTAATACATGAGATGAATCAATTGAATTATTCCGGACATGAGAGTGATTTGCTAATTTTCATATGTGTATCTAACCACCTGAAGCCGTTTCCACTTTCAAATATGCCCTCATATATACCTCTATTCCAGGTCAAAAACGCGTCATCAGTCCCAAACCACCTCTCCTTGTCTCACGGATCCACGTTGGACCTTTGCGAATATTCTTTGCCTAGGTAATCGTCAGCAAGTTGTTTCACCATCTCCTCGAGAAAAAACAACCTTACATATCTAACCAGAATTTTTAGTCAACAATGACTGGCATTCTGCCTTGATTCCATCCTCTTTTCCATCCTTTTTTGCCAACAACTGCTTGGATTTTGCCTTTATATTGTTCTCCCATTCCCGATTCTCCTTGCGCTCCTGGATAAATGTGGCTATCAAGGCTAATATGGTGATGAATGAAGAAATAATAGTAAGTCCTATGATGATCCACGCCATTATAATGAAGAGATTATACCAAGATTCCTCGCTAGCACTAGGTATATGCTCCAGGTGGCTTGAGCAGTGCCAGTTGTCAGAAGGAGGTGGCACAGTGCTATTCTGTAGGCTGCTAGAAAGCGGAATTCGTGCTTTACAATGCCAGATGGTATTGACTGGTGGCATGATGAAGCTCTTTGAATTGATGCAATATTTTTCCCTGGTTGCTGTCAGGTTTCTTCCTTTAGCATAAAGTGTTGATAAAAAAGAAGAGGTTAATTGTATTGGAGTTGCAGAGTTTGTAAACGGACGTCTCAGTTGTTGTTCGTGATAGCTAGTGCCTAGACTTGATGATGTTTTTGAAATTTAAGAGGTAGTAATCGCTGATTGTTGATGATTTAAATATTGAGAATCTTAATTGTACAGCCATCATAAAGACTCATTCACTACGTTTGATTAGCAAGTTCCGTCATACGGCAGAGAGCTTCACTCATGACAGTCAGGTGAGTCGTTTCTATCTAACAACTTCTACTCACTACAATGAGGAGCAATCTCCAGGAGGCTGCTTGATTTTTGCCCAGTACCTGTTATCTCATAATACAGCCTGCAAGTATTCTCCGGGTCGAGATTATATTTCGTTAGATCTTGTAATTGAAATTTAAAGTTGTCAAAACCATTAGTTCATTAGCTCAGATGTGTAAACTGATTTTCATCCGACTCACTCCAAGATCACAAAGTCAAGGCTTGAACCATCATGATAGGTCTCTCATTTATTGATCACATTGTTTGACAACTTATGGATACCAGCCGCCAATCTCTCTCCCAAAGTAAACGCAACGCTCATTCATCATCAACAGCCCTGAACTCTATGACTGTATCAAATTTACTAGCGAGGCTCTCTTCCACAGATCCTCATGTGGTAAGTCTGTCCACGTACCCACTAATTTTTAATATGAGCTGTATACTTGTATTAGCAACTTTCAAGAGCTCAATGTAAAGTGATAATTACCGATTCATATTCTTTTGTCAACAGCAGCCTCTGATCCTGTACCTTTCATCTGCTCACTGTGGTGTGGGAGGGAAAATCCAACTGTGCGGTGATAGAAAGCCACGAGACCAGCAGTAGAGAGAACAGGAACAACAACATACAAGTGATCCTTATTGTACTGATAGAATTTCTGTGTATAATATGCTCTCTTGAGTTGTCCCGTACCGGTGCTGGCTGCGCGACGTTGTCTAGTGATTTGTCGGAGGAAACTCATCTTCGGTTATGATGAAGGGCTTTGACTTAGTAGGAAGAATCAGTGTCGAATGAGGAGAATTATTTGTGATGTGGACTTTGAGGGCAAATGCCTTTCAGGTGTGGCTCGTTGCAGTAAATGGTATGTGGTGCGCAGAGTAAATTAGTCTTGAAATTGTCGTTGAGTAATTCAGATGTGCATTAGGGTCAAAATAAAATATTTATAGCTGAATTTCTTAGCTCTTCAAAGATTCGATCCAAATGAAAATCAGGAAAAGACTACCAGCTTTGCTTGGGTGTTTTTCTTTCATTTTGAGGAACGCTGTTTAATTGATTGTCATTTCACTCAGAATCACTTTTTTCAAAGAATGAAATCATTTACTTGACCGTATTCATTGCGGTGGGAATGATGTTTTTTTGTTATGTAATATTATTCAGATATAGTCTTGAATAATTCACCAGCAACCTTTTCCAGCCCTAGAATAGGTTCCTATTCAAAGACAGCCAGCAGCAACAAAAAGTCGCCCCGTGTCCGTACCATAGCTCTCGGAAAGAAGCTGTACAACTATATTAGCAGGTTCCAGGGAGATACTTTATAAGAACACGGACCTTAACCAGAATCTTCCATCAACAAAGGCTTGCATTCTCCCTCGGTGCCTTTCTCTTGACGCTTTTCATTGAATTCCTCTTGTGGTTCGTCCCGATTTACTCTTGCAAACAAAGCTCTTCCGATGAAAATAAGTAGTATGGCACAGCCATTGTAGAAGGCAACTGTCATCGAAATAACAAGCAAACCAAGTTCGATGCCAACCAACGTCCAGATTAAATAAAGCGAGATCTTATAGGCTCTACTGGTCGCCTCCCAGTCACCCTCTTTCCACTCAGGTCCGAGGAGAAATCTAGGTGGCATGGTTCCAAAGCTTTCAAGATTTTCGATCCTTGAGCTGGAGGATTCGCTGATTAGTTTGAAATTATGAGGTCGAGAAGTACTAGCGTTCGTGATCTGTAATCGTGTCGAGAACTTTTTATTTGAGGGTCGTGAAAATCTTGGGCAAGCTTGTGTTTATGTCGAGTTCAGGGTTGTAGTATATTGTGAGTCAAGAACTGTTGAAGGTCGAAAGAAGATGTTTTATTATTACACTTTCAATGTGAGCTGTTATATAGGATAGGGGTATCTGTATGAGTATACTAGCGCATAGGCTAGCTGGGAGCATAGTAGGTAAATACGGCACTTTTAGCAAAACAATCCAACACTGCAGCCGAAGCCCATCCAGGGCAATCTAACTTTCAATTCGAGTGAAGGCCAAGTTTTCGTACCATGTTTACAAAACAGCCAGCTGCAACCTTTTTCCATCCAGTACTGCGTTCGTACTCACTCTTTATCAATACCCCTATCCTCTACGCAATTTCTGATACTTATAATACGACAGTCAAGAAATTGAAACCCCATTCTAGTCTAGCCATCCGTAGCTCGCTGAGGTATCCAAACGAATTCCGTTAGTCACTCCTGTGCGAAAAAGGATTACCTGTTCAGATTCTCAAGCTGATATCGGTATCCATTCTTCCTTGCTTTGTCTCTCTGGGAGAGATGATATGAATTTTTCCTCGGCGCTTTAATTTATTAGCCTTGATTCCAAGCTGGTTTAACGAGTTTTGTGCTCCTTGATGTCTTTTTGCCGCCGCAATATTTCATCCTTGTGCAGAATGCTTTCGGGGAAAATGAACAACATAAAAGCTGTCCTAAAGCCTTCGAAATAGTCCGAAAGAATTCTGATACTCCGAAATATTAAAATGGGTAGAGCTGATAATATAATTGGGATGGTACGGTATGGACAAGTGTTGAGGATCCGGCGCATGCATTTAGGGTGAGGTAGATGTGAGATTTGCCACACATTTACTATCTTGATATTTCATGGAGATATTACGTGGTGGCTGGCTGACATGAGGAATATTATGATAGAAAGGACAGAATAACTTTTGGCAAAATCCAGATTCCTGAAATAACCTTGGAAACTAACAATGATGCGAATGACCTAGTTAAAACAATTAAGCGAGGTTCGTGTTTTAGCTAAGTTACATCATATTAGATGCTACATCACTCCATGGTTTCGATTAGCACGTTATTGAAACCTTTTAATTCAACTTATAATGGCAAAATAGTATTCATCATCTTAGCTAGTGACTAAATGACATGATGAACTAAGACCTCAGATGATTTGGAATTCAACGAAGTGATGAACCCCGCTACACCTTTGCTCCACCGTCCCTTATTTCATCGCTATCGATAATCACAAATGTTGTCCTTCTGTGTTATACAATCCCTAAAGTAAAGATTCTCCCGGCGATTGAGTGAAAATTGATTTGCATTACGGCTTAATACCTCAATAGTTAGGGAAAAAGGCACGGCTTCTTCTCTTCAGATCTTTATTCGAAATCAGTTTAACTCTCTCTTCGAAAATAATCGTTCTCCACAGTTCTTTCTGTCGCTTCTGGTCCAACAAGTTTTGTCCTTCAATCTTGATTCCTGCCTGTCTTCTATTTTTCATCTCTCTCCGAATCAACAACGCCATTCGTGTTATCCTGGCATTTTCCACTTGTAGTTTTCGTTCGAATCTACTATTTGCAGCAATCAGGGCGATATTGACTAATTTGAAGACCGCTAGACAAATGACCAAAAAAAGGAAGATCTCCAGTTTTTCTGCCCAACTAGTCCCGGTGTACAGTAACTCAGCTCCGCTGCTGAATCTTATTTTGATAATCCTAGGCTTGAATGACGGGATCTTGAACATCTTCTTGTTGTAATATTGAGATTTTGATGTATTGCTGTTTGACCAATGTCGAATCCTGGTGAGGGTCTAAATGATCGGGAGGATTGAAAATTAAGGAGTTACTGTGAGACTTTCAGATACTAAATCAAATTTTTGGACGATTTAAAACCAAGACAGGTTCTAACAATAGCCTCTTCCAATACATCTGCGTACTAGCTAGTGTTGCTTCCTCAACCGTAATATAAGCAGTAGCAATCCCCGCGAATGTACTTCTATGGCACGCACATATTGTATATGGACCCGTATGACGGCACGTGCTGGGGTTCTTCAAACCTTTGAGGATGTGTTGTCTTTAATCTACTCATTTCCCGGAGTTCTGATATTCCTATGTTATGAGGCGCAAGACTTACAAGTCCTAAGTAGTATCTAATCTCAAATTTTTTAAAGTAAGCCTGGAATGTTCTACTTCAGCCTAAATTCACTGAAAATTCGGCTTGAGATGCATCGCACAGGAGTTTACAATCTTCATCTGATATACATAAATCACGGTAGAAAGAAATCAATACACGCTTCACACACACTCAAGATAACTAATTGAACAAAACTCTCAATTTCCATTTACTTAAGATTAGCACTAGCGCTTGAATTTCGTGATATCCAGGATCCAATAAACTAATAAACCACCGAGAACCATTTCCCATCCCTAAAAGCGTTGTTGCCCCTTTATTAATCCCAGGTGTAGTATTGAACTTGCCTAAATGAATGCTTCCCAGAATTCTCAGTCAAACTGGCTTTGCATTTTCCTTCGATGACATGAAGCAGATTAGATGGTAATTGTACCATAATTTGTCTGTCGCATCTCGATCGGAAACTCCTGATACCCCTCTATAATGCCTTTCTCCTGCTCGCCTTGCAACTCATCATTCGATATATTCTCGCCTTGTCTCTCGTGAATTTCCTCATGTGCGCCCTGCAAATTCGGTGGATCCAACGGCGGCTGGTGTTCTCTCTTGGCGGCCTCCTGTTTCTTTTTTCGATCCTCCAGACAGGTTTCAATTGCAGTGACAATCCAGCCTAATGAATGTATAAAGACGACAATGAGCCCCACAGTAGTAAACGGAAGGAGAAAAGATCTCAGCAAAGTGACCCAGTCAATGTTGCGATTACAATATTCTCCCATTTCTAACCGATTTCCGGCACAAATGGTTGAAATAACGATAGGCATTATGCTGATGTGTTGCTCTAGGTATGATTCAAGTATTTTTATTGTAGTAAGGAGTTGATATTTGATAAATGGAAGTCGGAGCCGGAGATCGAGATCGATAAATTGAAAATCTTGAATTTGATATTGAAGATTCCAAAAGCTAAACCAAACCTTTAGATGTTTTGAGTGATATTAAATAACCGAGCAATACAGATTTTCATCTGCTAGCATTTCACCTTCAATTCACTTACGATTACTACCGAGGCTTCTAATACCGATACTAGCATTATGCAGGCTTCATATATCTGGGATTGAGTGGTATTTGAGATATTTCATACAAGTCCCGCTCTACTAAGACGTATGTATTTTACATGATACATCTATTTGAATAGATGTCATTGAACTCTATATCATGAGATCTTAGAGACTGGAATTCAATAAATTGCTTCCCAGGTATACAATTTCGAAGACAATCTCTCCGAAATCGATTGAATTTTTTAAGAAGCTTGAGGAAACTTGAGGGAGGTGAGACTGAACTCATTGAAGTCTTGTTTTTGCATATTACTCTAGTATTTCATTTAATGATGCTTTTTATAATAGGAAAAAACAATAATTTTAGCTACTATGACGCTATTTTCATTACTGCATGAGTGAATCATTGAAACGAACTGAATCTCTGGGAGATGTTTACATATACACTATTGTTTCACGAATCGAGGGTTTCATTATTCGAGCAAATTTGCTTCGGATGTATAAGTTTCTAGTACATATTTAGAAGAAATTTTAACGGTAGATAGTCAATGTAAAAATTTCTTTAGGAGCGCTCATTGATGCTCGCTCATTGCTTATTGAAATTTACAGATTATATAAGTTCTCACACCTCACTCACTTGATCAATATGGTTGTTAGAAGGTAAAAATTTATATTCTTCGAACTCAAGAGTCGCCGCTCAAACTCCCTATCCTAGAAAAGCTCATCACTACCCCATAAAAACTCTCCGAGATGTAACCCAGGTATCACATATCGCATTTGAAAAAAACCGAAAAAAAAAACCAGTCATCAAGCTGGCAACCTGCGCATCTGCGCTCAGTCCATCAGACTAAGCTTTGCCCTTCTGCGCCTTTCCTTTTGGGGTCTTTTCGAGCTTCCCTTGCTGACATTCTTTCGCTGTGTCGCAGTCCATGGGGTGGAATATCCCTCATAATCGAAGTCATCTTCTGATGACTTCTCAACCTTTTTCTCCTCTGGCTCATTCATGAAAGCCTCATATTCGTCAAGCACGATTTGCTTTTCTCTACCCTTGATCACTTTCCTCTGGCCCGTTGGATTTGGAACCGGCTCGAAAAAATCATCAATGGATTTGTTCTTGATGCTCTTCGTCTTGCCTTTGCCCTTGGCCTTGGCACTTCGCATGGGTGTTGTCGGAGTCGACACAGGTGTGAGAAGTCCATTTCTGGCTTCTCTTTCTCTGACCCTGCTGCTTCTTCTCAGCGTTGTTGGTGTCATAGGAGGCTGTTCATCCTGAGCCTTCCTGCAGCCTCTTCCCCTGGGATTTCTTCTGGGTACTGTCGGTGGCATCATGGGGAGTGAGGTTTCATCTGAAGCCTCCTGATCACTCTCAATTGTGATATAATCCTGAGGCTCTAGAGGTTCGTAGTTTTCGGGGCGTGATTGGAGACCCAATGCGTTCCAAAATGGATTGATGTTATCCAGTATTCCAAAAACAATCAAGACGCCCAATGTGACGAGCATGGTGTGCAAGATGCTGGAGTTGTCTCCAGATTCCCAACTTGTTCTTGTTGCGATGGCAGTTGCATTATACCACGAGTATGACATGGTTTAATAGATGGACAAGATTTACTCTTTTGATTGAGTGATGAAGAGAAGTCGAAGTCGATTGAAAACTCTTGTCAATGACGAAGAGTAAGAGGATGGAAGTTTTAGATTTGTGTTCTAAAATTTGAAAAGAGAATTGTGCTGAAGTATCTGTAGAAAGACTTTCTGATGTGTTATAGAAGGATCCAGATTGACTGGGAGCTTTGAGATGCTTATATAGGATCTGGTCTGGGTTTGCTACTTTTCGATACGGTCAATACAACCGTATCTAAGCTAGGGCATCATGTTAGCAAACACATCGATCGAGTTTGGGACCGTTCCAGATTAGTTACCATACGATATTAGTTACGGTATTTGATTATCATTCTTGGGCAATACAACGGAAAGGAGGAGAGCAGTACGTTACTGCTCGTTAAGATACTCGACGTCTACCTCCCAAAAAATCTGTGACACGTTCTCGGAAACGCTTCCTCCTGTTATTGCCAACATTTGCTTTGTTTATATGAATTTCGAAGGTCCCATCAGTTCTTTACCTTTGTCAAATTTATATAAAGATGCACTCTACTACATGCTTCTCTAAAAAAGTACTTCCTAAAGAACTCCACGGCCACAAAATGTAAATGGAACGATGACCACCAGGACCTCGCTTGGTGATTATGTCATCCAGTAACGAAACTCAAAACGATTTCAAAAATCCATTGTCATCTGAAATTATGATCAGTGCAATCATTTGAAAATTCCCATAGAATTTATCCTGAAAACTTTCCGACCATGTGGTCGAAAATCCAGCCAATCCAAAGTAATAACTAAACAAGTTATGCAATTCCTGTTTTGAGTTCACCAGGTTCGCTCGCTTCAGCTTATGATTGGTTCTTGAAAAAGCCATCGTGAACTTCCCGCGCTGACATCACTTTCGAGAAGAGAAAGATCAATAAAGCATATCAACACCACGATTCCTTGAAATGAATAGGAACAAAAATTTACACAAGAATTTTTGAGTATACATATACAGTCGTCAGAATAATTTTTCAACTTCCTCGCGTTTCGTGTACAAAAATCGCTAAAGCTACATTGAATAATACCCAGTATCTACCCCCACCACACAAGCCCTATCAACAACACAAGTCAAGCTCATCCCACTTTGCAAAATGGGTATTCCCTACAGTAAACAGATCCACTCCGCCTTCGATCAGTCGCAAATAATGATGCGACGACTCCAAACCGAAGTCACTCCTCTCGTCGCAGCCGGATATCCATTAGTAGCATCTGGCTTTGAAGTCCTCAAGACGACTAAAAATATTGCCATACTGCTAGCAGTAGTGCAGGTTTATACGGCTCTTATGCTGACGGTTATTTTTGGGGTGGGCTGTATGTTATTGGTGACGATGAATCCAGACTTGGAAGATGAGAGAAGCAGGATGATTAGTCCTGTTGTGAGAGGAGGAGTGGAATGGGTTGAGAGATGGGGAGGGTGGGTGAATTGGGGTGTCAAGTTTGGAATTGTGTCTGGAGTGGCGGCGATGGGAGTAGGGATTTGGAAAGGGGAGAGAGCGGGAGAAATGGAAAGGGAGATGGTTGTTGAGGGTGAAAATGAGGAGACGGGGAGTGAAGACAAGGAGGAGGAGGATGAAAGTGATGAAAAAAATAGAGTGAATGATATGGATGATGTTGGGAAGTAGGAGGCCCATCCACACCATTTTTTTCTTTGAGTATCATGATTTTATGAAACCTCTTCACAATTTTGTCATTGGGCTTTTACCTCTCGGAGGGCGAGATACCACCATGGAATTTAGGAGTTGATGGATTATCTGGGATCTGTTTTGAAAATTCTTATAAAGTCCATGTATCGTTAATATCTCGTAACTGATGCAAATACTATTCTGCTTGGAGTTTGAAGTTCAAACAAGACAATTGGTGCTAGTATGCTCTTGTTACGTATATGCTTGTTGAGATTACATATTGACCTCCAACCCCCCCTGGAAACTATATGCAATTAACCTGCGTGAATACTACTTGACTCACTCTATGTCGAAAGATTTGTCTTATCTTTCTCACAGAAATCTTTAACGACTTCGCTAGACTCTGTCTGAATCCCACCGTTTATCACACTTCGCTAAATTCATTAGCAGGATATTCATATTTTTGTAACTTTAAACAGCGTTGTCAATATTCTCCCCTGGCCAGATCAACCAGAGTGATTATTTAACCTTTCATCGCTCATTCGAATATATATCACCATGGACTCCAACACAGTGTCTGGGAATGTCACTTCTAATCACAAAAAGGAAGAAATTCGTCACTTGTTATCAGCATATATCATCAAGTAGTACCACATTACGAAGAGAGTCAATTGGGGTTCATCGACGGTAGCGTCGAAAACCTAGATGATTGCCATCACAAGGCTGAGAAAATGAATTGTATACCAATGATTAAAATAACCGCGGAATTATGATCCTTCGAACACAAATCCCCACAGCAACCAAATCCCTTGTAAACACTCAAAATGAGTGTCTTATCCTTCCCGTCGAAGAAAACCATGTGAAAATTTGTACCTCATAACCCATCGACCCCACTCCTTTCCCCGAACACCTCCTTTTCCCTCCGTCCCCCCCATTTCTCATCTCCACCCCAGCACTAACTAAAAACTACGAACTAATCTCCTGGACGGAGTATGATCGCAATCGCAAGTCCCCGCATATCTCACCGACGGAAAACTTCCCCAAGACTGCGCCATAGCAGTAGCCCACTTGCCTTCCATCATGGTCTTGAACATCTCGACATAGTGTTCCTTGGGATGTTGCGTTCCTCGTATTCCGAGCGAGGTTCGAGTTTCATTGCCGTGTATACAGCAGTGCAAGTGTTGAACCAGCACGATGATTTCTTTGAGCGACGTGTAATTCAACAGGACTGGTCGACGACCAATATCGTAATTGAGAGTCGAGAAATACTCATACGGAAGGGCAATGCGCTGGATCAGTTCTTTGTTTTTGAAAGAACTAACCCTCGGGCCCTCTCTCTTGTCTGGAGCTACGTATATCATCTGTGATTTACCGTACAGAATATCGACTTCGGGATCAAAATACGCGCGGCCGATTGGTTTTTGCGAGGTACCGAGGAGATTTGCTAAAGGTTGCTCCAAAAGCTTGTACTTCTCTAACGCATATTGTCGAGTTGCCCTATTGATGGATAGTGCTATTGGTGGTTTAGCACGGACATTACCCTGACCATTAGCTGCAGCATGTGCAGCGGAGTTCAGGTTGCGCTGTTCGGTCGTCTGATCATCGATAGCGCTGCGAGCAGCAAAACTTGGATCGATCAAAACGCAGGGCCGAAGGTTCAAGTCGAACATTCTCTGGCCAGGGAATGTAAACTTGAGGATCGAGAATCGCATTTCGTTAGGGATCTCCTTCCATGCGGCTCTGGGTCTGAAATTGATGTTGAACTTCAATATCAAGCTAGGCTTAGCCGATGGATCAAGTTCAGCGGCAGGTACTCTCAAGATAACCGTCTTGCTTTTGTGGGCCAGCTCCTTTTGTGATTCGCGCTCCTCGCGATCCTCTCGTTCTGCTTGCTGGGCGGCGCGACGTTCGTTAAAGGCTTCGATAGCCAATGATGAGGAAGGGCCAAAAATGGAAAGTTGATTGTTGGAATTCATTTTGACAATAATGTATGAGTTGACTGGAAATGGTGTGAGTAAAAAGAAATTTCGTTGGTGGTCAAAGTGTATTCGTGGTATTGAGACGTTTATAAGAAGTAGAAACTGATCTGATCGAAAAGCGAAAGTAGTGAATGTCAAAAGTGCGAATTGATTTGTTCACAAGTATCTTTTAATCAAGTTGTCTTTGAAATGAAGAAGAACCAGATGAAGATGTTGTCTTCAAGAGCAATCATTCTGATCCTGAAATACCTTTTAGAATTTCTCCTAGAAGTCTCTCTCAAATAAAGCTTCTTCGAAACGGTACTGAATATCATTAAGAATACAGCAACGACAATGACATGAAGAGCCGTACAAGAATCCCAGACTATCCATATAGACGTGCAGATGTATGCGCATCATTGGTACTGGTATTGGTTGAGCCTGAGTGAATACTGTAGATATAAGAAACAATTTGAATTTTGGTCAAGTCACTTACATTGCTGCTATTAGAGCCCGTACCGAGTTGTCTAGCGCCTCAATATCTCTGCGCTCCATAGGTAGCCAAAGATAGTATCATTAAGCTGTACCGCCATCCAAAATATAGTATAGACGCTATTTCTTTGTAAATCTTGGAGCTGTAGCGAATATCGTGTTCAATAATGTACAGGCGATGAACGTTGAGAGATGCCGCTAGTATCGGAAACCGTATTACTTCCTCTATAGCTCCACTCCCCACCTTGTCCCAGTCAGCAAAAGTGACATCAAACCGTATCTTCTTGAAAATGATCAGGAAAGTAATAATGAGTTTTATTTGCTAGCCCCAGATATATCCAAACGATCCAAAATATCACCAAAAACGAAAATAAAGCGAAATGATCATCGAGAACCCCATCTACCCACGATTTCTTTCCTATCTTTCCAATGCATTTCTATCTACCCATCTATGAAAATAGAGACCGATCCTATCCCAAAATACCATCAAGCAAAAATTTCATGGAGGAGACGAGCACGCTTTATCTTGTACCTTAATCGCCCTAGGCGGAACTGCCAACTCTCCGTCTTCAAACCCTATCCATGCGATCCACTGGGATATTTTTAACACACACAGACACATACACACTTCTTATATATTCTCATCTAATAAGCATGATACCTTCACAAGACCACACATACATGCACATGAATATCATTGTTCCTATTCCCCATCAGCAAACTAGTGATTTGATATACAATCAATGATTACTCAAACCATGCAAAACCAAGCAAACCAAACCAAACTTCAAGCAAGCAGAGATAAACGCCTTAAAATGAACATATCTCACGATCATCACCTTCACAAATTCACCTGTCTTCACAACCTCAAAAAACCACAGCTCATATTTTATTCAACTTATTTATTCTCCAGGCATTTTTCCCCCCTCAAAATACAAACGGCGCCATTAATAGTGTGAAGTAAGCCAAAAGAAAAGTAAAGGTCACCACCTCCGATATTATTTGAGTAACCTGAAGTCTTCCTACTGACGAGCTTGACCGCAAACTCCTGCTAAACGGTACATGGAAATGCAAACCCCAACCATGATGGATGCAGAAATGACGTTTGAGTGTGCAGAATCCCATCACATGTGCACATTCAGTGCCAATGAAAAGAAAAGTTATGAAGTAGAGAACAGATGACTAACATGGACGTGGTCTCTGTTTCTTCGGAGTTTCTCTGGAAGAAAATGCTTCGGGGATACGGAAATTTTGCGGGTAGGCTGGCTGCGTGGAGATGACACACGAAACCAGAGATAAATGATCAGTCTGATCGGCTGGGAGATATGAAATTTGCGAAGACCTGTTTCCTTGCTCGCTCACAATTGTGAGATGCCCCATTTATGATTCTTCATCAGTCTTTTTGAAAACCCTGTGATTATGTTAGCGTGGTATGTGAGAGGAGTCATGTGAAGGGGTCGCACAAATGTCTTTCGTAGAAACTGAGCATCTGTTTTTCTGGTTAGCTCGGGACACTCAATTGAACAATTGGAGACTCTACTTTCTGTGGGCAACGTTTGTATACTTGGTGTAATGGGTGCTGTGACTTAGCTCCACCCTTCCATGTCAAGTATACAATAACTTCCGCATTGGGTCCTTCCATAGCTTCAATAGTGACAACATCATCCTCCCAACTTCCTTGTGGTGGTTTGAATGTAGCTGCTTCTCGGGATGCGGGTGGTGTTGACGAGGCGGGGTGGCCATTCTTTCTTGACCTCTTTCCGTTAGATTGAGGAGTACTAACACCAGTACTTGGACGACCACGCTTCTTTGATTGCTTCTTTTCCGCTGCTTCCGCTGCCTCTGCTCTCTTCTCATTGTATTGTTCGATCAATTGTTCTTTACCACCTACAGTCTCGAGATACGCGTTCAGGATGTCTTGCGCAGTCTCTCTGAAGAATCAATGTCAGTCAAGTAATGGTAGAGGGAGTGAGTGAACCTTACAAATTCTCTTCCGGCTCCCATGTCATATCCGACTTCTTCTCGTAACCTTCCCACTTAACCTGGAACCTCAAAACGCCCTTCAAAAGTGTTAGAAATCTTCATCATAGCATTGAAAGGTGGGTTCACCGACTTCCTCGTCAAAAGAATGTTTCAAAATCTTTTCAACCACGTATCTGCCCATGGGTTAGTGACTGAATGTAAACATTGCAAGTAAGGGCGTCGCATACTCATCTTCTGCTTGCTCCTCATCGCCTTCTTCATCCGACTCAACCCTCAACTCCTCTGCAGGCTCTGACTCTTCTTGCTTGCCCTGTCCCTTTACTGGTTTTTCAAATTCTTGTTCGCTGGCATCGGAAACCGAACGCTCGTCATCGGTAATTTCTGTAAAAGGTGAGCGCGGGTCATTTAGTTATAACAATTCAAAAGATATCATTCATAGAAATCCAGCTGGATTGTATCTCCAAGACTCTGTGATGAGATATGATTTGTGCGACTTACGGGGAGGCATTATTGCGACTAAGCTTCAAATATGCGCAAAATAGGTTGTGATCGTTTCTTGACAGTTTCGAAACTCAATTGAAATATAAAAAAATCGCAATAGAAGACGAACTTGACTTAGAATAGTTGAAAATGAATGCGCAGCTCCTTGAAGGTGGTGAGTATTGAAAGAGCTGTGGAAGTAATTAGAAATGTGAAGGAGACGCGAATCTATCAAAAGATAAGTTGCTTGGTGACAAGTTCGTGTTTTCACCAATCATGAAATAGTGGATTAGATAGTCACGGGGAGTGCTTGTTTGAGCTCGGATTAATGTCGGCCCGAGGGGGTAGTCCAGATGTCATCCTAAACGATTTCAATATTTTCAGATCTCATCTTCAACACTACCACATAAATCCATTCAACAATGGTACACAAGACATCTCAAAAAGAAGTCAAACATTCAAGCACACCCAACTTGAGCCAGAGAAATGAAAAATCTTTGTTCCTCATGACAGGAAAAGGGGAGGTGTGGTTTTTCAGTCACATAAGGTAGAATTTCAGATGTGATTGTTTATTAGTTAACTCTTCTAGATTATCCAGATTCTTATGTATACAAGACAAACAATGTAATAATAGTAGTTATATACAAACTTTCAGTATCAACTTTGACTTCCATATAAATCTGCTCTGTGTGGATCTCAGACACTATTTCTATCCTTTCATAACCTTTAAGTTCCAGAATACTCCAACACGGTAGAGTTTCTACCCAAAAGAAAACTGCTAGCACTCATATCATGACTCGGAGCTTGCCTACGCTCCTCCCCGCAATCGACCTCTTTGCCCTCGTCACTCCCTGAGTGCTTCTTCTGTCACCCTCCAGTCTCTTTAGCCCCTCCGCGATGGCCCCCTTCCTTTCTTCCAGCCTCCAAAAATCTCACATTCTCTAGCTTCGTATACGGACTCTGCATGTCCATGAATCTCATTCACGCGTTAGATATCCTACACTTATGTCCCCTCACTAAATACGGAATCGTCGGACACCCCGCATACTCAACTAGATCTGCACCAACAAATTGTATAAAACAGACGTTGCGCCTTCGGTTTTGGGTTTATCGGTGACTTTGGACTAGGCCATTGAGGAATAGCCCGTAGCAAATTCTGTTCGCGTTATAGAATATCATAATCACTCGAAAGGTGGGCTTGTGGGCTCGTTTCGTATACCGATTCCTGGTAATGTCGTTTTTCTATTGCTTACCTCTTCTAAGTCTAAGTACAGGAAATCGATGATAGCGGTCAAAGTGATACTACTGGCAAGAGTCATTTAGTTTGCAGCATTTTAGTGTTTAAAGAGCTGTGTAAAAATTGTGTATTGTTCAAAGGGAGTGGGTCTGACGGTGGTCTTATCATGTTCCGCTTCAACGTCAGCGGCACGAAGACTTTCGTCGTCCAATTTTACTCAGATCCGGCGTGTCAGGTATAATCAACGGGACATTAAAAGAATTTTTTCATTTCAAAGTCCACTGTTAGGCCTGGTCAATGTTTCTTTTCTCTTCCCGCCTTCATGACAGATTTAGGATATTCAGAACGGTCCCAAGCACCTCAATGAGAGGCTTAGACGATGCACGAGTCTCCTCGTCATCAGGAGCTACTCTCTAAAACCATTTCAAGGATATTTTGCGCTCGTGAATGTTGTATATAGCACCACGATGAATGATAGAAAGGTGTGCAATAGTAGTAGTCTTCTGCTCGGCGGAACTCCTAGCCTGTTCGTCCAATCCTGAGTGTTGATGATGTCGGTACTTGAACCATGTAAGATCTTACCTCCGTGGCTGGATTAATAGCAGAAATCTTTACTTTCTTGCCATTTTTCTGGCTTTTCATTTGAGACAAGCTTTGGAAAAGTCAATTGGTGGAGAGCTTAAATAGAGAAGATAGGTGCCGAAGAGAAGTTCATTGATGAACTTGATGCTTGAAATGATGAAATTCGGATAAAATAAATCCACTTCAAAATCGGCTCACTTGAGCATTCGCTGGGCCTCTTGTCCCACCTGGCAAGTCTAGATATACACACGCACTGCATGGTGGTACCAATGTATGAAGTTATTCGTGCGATTTTCACACCCTTCCAGCTCTCTGAAAAGCAAATATATTGGCCAACTTCATGAGCCATTTCCATTCAATCGTATTACCTTTTCGGAGTAAAAACCCTTGACCAGAGAGTAGAGATGATGTTGTAATAGTAGTAGTAGGCGGGAAAAGCAGAAAGGAATTTGACAAGAAATAGCTCCAATCCTTCGTTTTGTTACATTGCTTGAGACTATTTCCAATCCAACTTTTCTTTCGAATCTTCGATAAAGTAAGAGAGAGCAATGAAACATGGTTGTAGACTTTTTTTTTCTTAATTAGTCCGATTTCAGTGATGCTTTTCATTTCTAAGCTTTACTCTAGGTTGACTTGAGTAGAGTTTAAGATCAACCCCAGCTTAGTCATCCAATAACTCACCAGATCACGAGGTTTCCTGCCCAATGCGTGTTAAACCCTGACTTCTGCCTGGATAAAAGTGGGGTATTTCAGGCTACCTCCTCCATTGCCACACCTCACACGTCTCTCTCATTAAACATTTCACCTTAACATACAACAAACGAGGATTCATCACAGACTTCACGTTTTCGATGTTTCAATGAGAATCCCTTTCTCAAAAAGTATAAGTAATTGAATGGTTCTTCATCGAAATTCAAACATTTCATTGATTCCTTTTTCATACTCTTCATACACATATCTATTCCTGTCACGCTCAATTCTACAATTGTATCAATCATCAACTTACTCTACCACTTCCTTGAATCAACATTCCGTACTTCCTACAAGAAAACTCTTTCATCAATTCATTATGCCTCGCGCCAAACGCCCCGTTGTAGAAGTTGAGGAAGTCGAAGCAATCGATTGGAGTCAATATGTTGTCACTCACTTGAAAGCTGAACTCGAGCGTCGTCAACTCCCAAAGACTGGCAAGAAAGCAGACTTGGTAGCACGTCTTCAAGCATCTGATGAGGAAGCATTGCATAATGAACCCGAAGCTCCTGTCCTTCAACCCCCTCCTGCTGAAGCTGGTCCTTCTACCACTTCTGATGAACCACCAAAGAAAAAGAGAGCCAAGAGAGAAAAGAGTCCTGACGTTGTGATTGAAGGACAACTTGCATCTGATGTCGTCATCTATCAAAACGTTGATACTCGTACTGGAGAGAGACGGGAGAGAGAATTTGTTGCAGAGCCTGATGCCAAGTTCAAAGATAAGGTCAAGCGAATCAAAAAGGAGCGTATGTTCATGTTGAACAGGAAAAAAGTTACTGAGATCAATGGGAGAGATCATGAGGATTTCGATATTGCGGGTAGTACCGGTAATATTTATCAAACCAAGATTGGACGTGTTCCAAGTTGTACCTGTATGGATGCAGTGAGTTGTGCCACTCTCTCATTTTATGAATCAATACTGACCCAAAATCAGAGAATTCGTGGTCAAAAATGCAAGCATATTAACTGTAAGTATCTCCGCACTCCAGTTCGCATCTAGCCATATTCTAACAGAAAATAGATGCCTTGATAATCATTTATAAGGCGCCCATGCATCTTTGTTACCAACAAGCATTCTTATCCCATGAACTGGAGTTCATCTGGGCCAACGCACCCGTCACCCGCGCACCTGACGGACACGACCCCAATGCCGGTCCCGAGGATGAAAGTAACTACAATGGCAAACGTAAACCCATCGAAGGCGAATGTCCCATCTGTGTCTTCGACATGGATCCCGCCACCGAAGACATCGTTTGGTGTAAAGCAGCTTGTGGTCAAAACTTCCACAAAGATTGTTTCGCTCAATGGAAAGCTAGTAAGCATGGTGGACCTGTCACTTGTGTTTATTGTCGTACTCCTTGGCAAGACGATGATGCACCTTCCAGACCTGTTCCAGGTAGTTTGGCTTCGCTGAGTGAATCCGCGCCCAAGGTGGGCAGTTATAAGAATATCGGTCACATGGACATGTATTCTCAGGCTGCTTCCGGAAAGAAAAAGGGTTAATATTGCTTCACGTCGAATCTTTTCCACACTGGAGGAGAATTAAAATGTGGACGTTCTTCAAAAAGAGTGGTGAACGTATAGATGCATTCTTGCAGTGTGTAGCTACGGGAAAGGCAAATTACAGATAGCTGGAGGAAACAAGGGTGAAAATGTATTGCCGGATGTTACTACAGGATTTCCAACACGGAAGACACGATGTTACGAATTTTCTTTCGGTTTTTCTTACAATTTACAATCTAAGAGGACAGGAGGGTAATGATATACCCATTTGCTATCTGCTGTATGTATGTAGCTTTTTAAATCCAAACTAATTTTGCTTGTTTCACCACCTATTCCATCAATTATGTATTTCGCTTCTGATCGTGTGGTGACATAGTACGATATGATATCATTGAAAATTTATTGCCAGGTACCGGGTATTATAGATATATCTGTAAAAAAAGGGGATGTTGGGATGTACTACAATCATACATACTCGTTACTCCTAGATATTTACTCTTTCTTGATGGTTAGATAGATGTGAAGGATTTGGGATTTGGGATTTGGGATTTGGGATTTGGGCTTTGGGATTTGGGCTTTGGGATTTGGGCTGTGAAGAGGTGGGAGGGAGGAGGGGTGGAAGTGGTTGGTGGAGGAGATGGAGGAGATGGAGGAGATGGAGGAGATGGATGGTATATGGTATATATTACATAGTATATGATGTTGAAGAAAGACACATGGTGTTAAGGCCGAGAGAGGGGAGTGAAGAAGAGAAGAGGAAGGGGAGAGAGGAGTAAAGAGAGGAGTTTTCGGGGTTTGGAGTTTAGATTGGATTGGATTGGATTGTAAAGCTGAAGAAGTAAAGGACAGGAAGGAAAAGATAGAGAGGGAAGGAAAAGATATGAAGGAAAGAGAAGGGGGAGAGGAAGGGGAGAGGAAAGGGAGAATAGGGAGGGAGGGGAGATTAGGGAGGAAAGGAAAAGAAAGGAAAAGAAAGGAAATCAAGGAAACGAAATGAAACAAGCAGAAAGGTATGGAAAAAATTTGAGAAGAAAGGATAATTAGGGAATGTATGGAAAAGGATAATACATAGAGAGGGATATAATATATGGAAAGGGATATAAAGCATGGAAAGGGGTATAATGTATAGCAAGGGGTATAAAGCATGGAAAGACATATAATATAATGAATTTGAATGATTCCACTATATCATATCATATTGAATTACATTACATTAACCTCATAGCACAATAGGTAATCATACATCATACGAATTCACATCCTTTCGAGTCCACAATATTATATTAAGCATAGAGTAGAGAAGAGGGAGATATTCGAGCACAAACGCATACCTAGGGTGAATTTTCACATCATGAATTAATCAATAGACAAACAGTGAGGAGAATTTGTAACCTTATGATTTATTGTCCATGCCATGCATTCCATACGAGTAGCTTAATACCAACCACGAAGACAGAATTTTTATCTCCGATGCATGAATGAATGAATAAATGAGTCAATGAGTCAGTGAATGAAGTAAAGATAGATATGAGATGACATCTCTCCCATTTGTGATTGTAAGTGTCTAATCTCTCTTTCATTCTTCCAATTTTAAAGACAGATACATGTACCATAAAACGCACCAATCCCACGATTTTCTTCCCATCCTTCGACTCACTTCCTCAATCCCTCAAGAAAAGGTACATTCAATTTCGAAATTCATCCTCCATCTGCATCTTCATCGCTCCCGTCCATCGTTTAAAAACAAGTACATGAGGTTCTGCAATTTTTCCACCCACTCCTCGCATTTCCTTCATCTTTTGCGAGAACATTAAAACAAGTACAAACTGACTGGTACAAAAGGAGAGAGAAAAAACATGTGTATTGCAAGAAGCGAATTTTGATAGTTGGTGATGACAGATGTGGTGGTACATGTGCGTGTGACTCGATTGAGACCAGTACATCGATCAATTCCTTCTAACCGGGTAGACTCTAAGTGGAGAAGGTCGAGGTGTGACGAATTGGAATTGTGCCTCCTTCCAAGTTCTCTGGTGAAAGTTGTGTGACCAGGTGGCTGTGAAAAGAAAAGATAGCAAAATGGTGGCGAAGGGAAAAGTCATGCAGTCCGTAATGGGTGACCGACCAGTTACTGAATCATCTTCATCTATCTCGGGATAATTAAGAGGACCTCGATGTTGAATAAGCAAAAGTACTAGAACGGACAGCGTAGGCCGCAAGTGAAAAGAAGATAAGAAATTGAGTGGTTATCAAGCGAAGTGGAGCGAGGTATTGACAGCATACAACAGAAGATCGAGGAGTCAAAAGAAAAGAGGCGCAGACAACGAGGTCAGAGCAGGAATCCCCGATATATTCAAACTTCGTCAATCTCTAGTGAATCATTGACGTAATGTCTGCCTCTATTCTGCGCTTGTCGCATCTCATCATCATAGTCGTAAACACCAGCGCGTCGGTTCATCATATCCTCAACAGGGCTTTGTCCGCGATATCTGGGTTGCTCATTCTCTGGGGTTTCTGAACGATTAGCTTCTTCTGGGGATGTAAGACGTGGATCACTATACTCAGCAACTTCACGGCCATTACAGTCCGCAACAAGTTTCATGAATTGCGTCTCGAAGTCTGCAAGGTTTTTGACCTCCCTCTGTAGTCGACGACGTTCTTCAGCCACTTTGTTGTCTTCCTGCATTAGGTCTTGACTTTTTTGCTTTCCTAAATTTTGATATGAGCTTCTCTAAGGTATACGGAATAGCGGGCTTACTTACCGTTGCTAGGATCATTTGTACCAAGATGCATTTCGAGGTAGTTCTCAACCTGTTCCACTACATTGCGAAAGTAACAATTATTTATGCTGATACAAACACTATCCGCAAATCTGTTGGCGGCAACAACATAATAGCCACGGACATAGGCCGCAACATCAAGTTGCACTTCGAAAGGATCTCTATCTAAATCTTCATTCTTAACAGCTTCCACAAGTGCTTGTCTCGCATTAATGTATTCAGGAGATTGCTTTTCAGCTTTTATCTTCTTGAGGCCAAGACTCAACTGTTTATCAACCAGACAGCTAGCACGATGCTTGTGGCGGCCTTGCTGGAGCTTCTGTAGCTCAACTTTCTTGCTTTCGTTGATAGCATCTCCAAGCAAGGTGAACGGGCGATAGATTTCGGTCTGATATAGATTCTCAATTGCAGAAAGTTGCTGCTTACAGAGATCATCAATCCACCTATCAACTAATATCTTCGAATCCTTGTACAAAATGGTTTGCTGGTATATGCCTAGATTTCTCTCCACAACAGTGTGAACAGCAGAACGGAGCAGCTTCGTCGCAGCAAAAAGTAAATCTGTGTAAGGATCTTTCCACACACTCACGGCCTTTCTACAATAAGCCTGGTGAATTCTCGGGTCTACTATTTTTGGCAGACCTAGGCTGCTATTCAACATCTCTTTCTGAATATCGCCAATGGATGCGAAACCTTTGCCAAGCTCAGCATGCCTTTCGAAAACAGTGCCTTTGAACTTATTTGGTAAATTTCTAGCATTGCGAATTGGTCTGGGAGTTCTTGGACTCGGTGCTTCTGATTTGAATCTTAGTTTAGAAACGGGGGTCACATTTTCTGAGTTCCTCCCATCTTGCTCAAAGGATTGATCTTTAGTGATATTTGGGTATTTGCGCTTCTTACCAGATGTATCAGGGGCAGGGACAGTTCCTGGTTCCTCGTCATCACTGTCGTCCACACTAATGACAGGAATCTGGTAGGTATCTGATGGATGCGAACAGATGATCATCGGCTTGATGTGTAGCAACAACTTGTGGAAGTTTTGAGAAAGCTTGGTCCAATTCCCATGGAAGTTGGTGTCAGTATGCTCACTGGTCATAAGGCCCTTCACTTCTCGGCTGAAGTTTTGTAACAGTCGCTGAACCTCAAGTTGAACATTTTGGTCGGGCAACTCTGGAAGGTTCCGAAGATCTTCGGTGATCTTAGCTCTATGCGCGCTAACCTTCTTCTTGATATCAGGAATGCTATGTAAGGTGTTAGATAACGTCAGAGAAGAAAAGGCATTCAAATACTAACTCTTCCTTAATAGAAGTCACGAGGAGCTCAGAGAGCACAGTTTGGATTCGACTAGTACCACATTTATTTTTAAATTCGGACCAGGCGCCATTCCACAGTGGATCACATCTAAAGAACTCTTCCTCTTCTTTGCGAGCTTCTTCATGATACTTCGATTCGTCCGCTCGAAATTCTGGCCCAGGCTGTCTGGCAACTAACCAGCCATATCCCAGTCGATGTTCCTTTCCTCTCAGAATGTTCTCGAAGTCTGCGTTACCTGTTTTATCTGCAAGAGTATCTGGCTTCGTCAATACTCCGACACAACGTTTCGTAGCATCCAAATCTTCGATGACCTTTTTGGCTCTCGACAATACCGGATCAACGGTCATACTCATTGCAAATATGATCAAAGTATTTGGTTCCTTGATATATCTGTAGAGTGTCAGTGTGATTGCAAAATTCACAGAGAAGCGAATTGAAAAGAAGCAAATTTACTTACTTTATTGCAAGGTTTTCGAAGACATCAACCAAATATTTCTCTTCTGGGTTTGGCATATTGGAAATGATACCAGGCAAATCATAGAATGAGAGAGCAGGGAGCTCGGGTCCAAATATGTCAACTTTGACAACATTAGGAGTTATCTTAGCCTCAATATCAGTGTTATCTGCCAGAGCTCTTGCACCAGTGCCAGGTATAAACTGCCTGTAATCCTGGTTATGGTTGAGTAGAGCGATTTGGGCCCATCTCATGTAATTCGCGAGTTCTAACTTCTCCGTAAGTCGAGCGAACTCGACCTGAACCCGCTCTTGTCTTACCCAAGGTGGAAATGGTTGATTCTTATTGATATCCTTAATTGTCACCCGTTGTCCTTTTTTCGCGTCGTACCTATAATCTTGTACGAGTGAGATAGTGCATGACCAGTCCGCCGATGGTGATGTAGTAATATTGGCAGGACATCTAGTGCAGCAACCCTTGTCACGAGGTACATGTATTCCTGCTAAGGCACACATCAAGGAAGATTTTCCAGCACTCTGGTCTCCAATAAGTATCAGCCTGGCAAGGCTGACAACATGCGAAAGGTCGAATTTTCCCAGCTTATTGATATGATCAATCAGCTTTTGGGGAAGCTCGCCGATTCGCTTGATACCATCGCCGTTCTCCATGTTGATAGTTGCGGATTCGCTTCTGTCTTTCTGATCGGCGATGTAGTGGAAATCGGTTGAGTATCCTGTGAATCATTGGCGATTAGCTAATGTACAATGAAGCATATGGATAATCTAGCTCTCACTGTTGTCAAAATGATGATCCGGATCAGATCTAGGCTGTTCTAATTGAGCTTGAGACTCTACAGTGCCTTGTAGATCTTTAGTGGCCGGTCTTTCCTTCTTGACTGCCCAAGGACCTGGTGGGAGTTTTGTGCTTGAAGAAATTGACAATTGGCCGTTCGTGGGAGTGAAGTTCTCTTTCCGATTTCTGGGCACCCGATAAGCCATGATGAGGATAGATTATACAAATTTTGGTAGTGTTATCCTACATCAATTATGTATCAGCTACTGCATAGATCGATAAACTTAAAGGCATGCGAAGTTTTAAGATCGTGGTGCGCTGCATTCCATACATGTGAAGATTGAAAGTCGGAATACCATACCGTGCAAGAGTAAGAGCTAGAAGTATCAAATGGGATCTTGGTTTGATAAAACAAAGGCAGAAGACTCTTCTATGAGATTTAAGATCGTTCCAACCAGCCAGCAGAGCGCTGTGAGAACTGCGGGAGAAGATTGTTGCAAGGCAGCAACTTGGAATTGTATACAGAAGTAGAATAATGGCGATTAAGTTCGAGGTTTCTGCAAGTAGCTTTGCAGAAGTCGACGAGGACTTAATACAAGGGACAAGAAGATTGGATAGAGAAAAAGTTGATGGTGAAAGGAAAATAGAAGGAATCAAATATTCTCAGAATACGCGAGCGTGACCGCGTAAAGTGTTTACATATGGTCTTGAGGGCAAGTAAATTCCATCGAATGAGAGACAAAAGAATATGAGAGTGAATGATAAATTGGAAGGAAAGGCTTAGGAATCGGCGATGAGAGAAAGCTGAATAACCTCAATTCTATATCTTTGTTTTGTTTTGTTTTTGTTTGATATCACTTTGGTATATTTCAGACGACTATCAGATTTATATGGCCCTCCCTATCAAGACTGATAGATACCTACCAAATTGCAAAGAATGGCCAAACTAATTTCACAAACACTAGATAATCTGATAGAACTCCAGATATGCAGCTGTACCATTTGGATAGACCTTGATCCTGTACTCACTGCCAGTTTGGGGAATTCAAGCAGATTTGAGTGATGTTTGGACTCAAAATTGACAGACTTCACTCTAATCACCCCGCGGTAACGGGTAGTTGAGTCTTGATCCATGTTGATGTGATGCGCCTATCCAATGGAATGGATTGTGGTGGCTGAGATTCTTGAATTTGCTTCTTTGACTCGGCTTCTCACATTGACCGAACGAGAAGCTCTCTTTCCTGTAGCTGTATGATCGAGTCTCATGGTTGAATGTTGTGAGTGAGGTATGATAATAATAATTCTTAGACTTGAAGTCTGATTGAAGTGAAATATATCGCTGGGCTGGAATGAGGGGAAAGAAAGTGGAGTCACGAGCTGCGTACTAGCTGGCTTATCCTCTTATCTTCACGTGACTTGTGTATGTTTTATGTGTTATATGCACGTGCACGGACCATTGAGGCCCCTGATTCCAACGGAACAAGCCATATTATTGAAATTCCACAGCTCTAGAACCAATGCCAGGTGTTCATGTTCATGTTCTTGTTAATTTTGCAGAATTATATGAAAAACATCCATAAAAGAAATATCCTCAACACTTCAATCATTCAAAATGTCCTTACAGATCCCTCATAGAGCAAGACCAGGTAGTGCTGCTCAAGCAGCAACAAAGGCTGTCATTCTGGTAATTCTATATTCATGAAAGTGTGCAAATGCGCAAGGAAGAAGGCTGACGATGAGGCTACTAGGTTGGTGGACCATCCAGAGGAACCCGCTTTAGACCATTGTCCTTGGATCTTCCAAAGGTATATACAATTATATCCTTTTCTTTCGATGCTTGACTGACTCTCATTACCTATAGCCACTCTTCGAAGTTGCTGGTCATCCCATCGTCTGGCACTGTCTGACCGCCATCGCAAAAGTCCCCTCCATTGAAGAAGTATGCATGATCGGTTACTACGACGAATCCGTTTTCCGCGATTTCATCAAGGATGCCGCACACGAATTCCCTCAAATTAAGATCGTTTACCTTAGAGAATACCAAGCTTTGGGAACTGCTGGAGGTTTATACCATTTCAGAGATGCTATCCTCAAGGGACGGCCAGAACGTTTCTTCGTTCTTAACGCAGATGTCTGCTGTTCATTCCCATTGAATGATATGCTTAAGTTATTCGAAGACAGAGATGCTGAAGCTGTCATTCTTGGTACCCGCGTCAGTGAAGATGCTGCTAGCAACTTCGGTTGCATCGTTTCCGATTCGCACTCCCGCCGAGTTCTTCATTATGTTGAGAAGCCAGAATCGCACATCTCGAACTTGATCAACTGCGGTGTTTATCTCTTCGCAACCGAATGTATCTTCCCTTCCATCAGAACTGCCATCAAGCGCCGTACCGACCGTCCACGACTTGTTTCCTACCCATCCTCCGAGAACCTCGACTCCTCATTCTTCCAAGATGATGAAGATGTACAAAAGAATGAAGTTCTTAGATTGGAACAAGATATTTTGAGTGATCTTGCCGACAGCAAACAATTCTTCGTTCATGAGACCAAGGATTTCTGGAGACAAATCAAAACCGCTGGCTCAGCTATTCCAGCTAATGCCTTATACCTCCAGAAGGCATCGCAAACTGGTTCTAAGGAATTGGCCAAACCATCTGCCAATATCCTCGGACCAGTATTCATTCATCCAACTGCACATGTCGACCCAACCGCCAAACTTGGACCTAATGTTTCAATCGGTCCTCGTGCTGTTATTGGCCCTGGTGTCAGAGTAAAGGAGTCTATTGTCTTGGAAGATGCTGAAATTAAGCATGACGCTTGTGTTCTCTACTCAATTATTGGATGGAACAGTAGAGTCGGTGCTTGGGCTCGTGTTGAGGGAACTCCTACACCAGCTAATAGCCATACTACCAGCATCATCAAGAATGGTGTCAAGGTTCAAAGTATTACGATCTTGGGTAAGGAGTGTGGAGTTGGTGATGAAGTTCGTGTGCAGAACTGTGTCTGTTTGCCATTCAAGGAGTTGAAGAGGGTACGTTTTTCTATTCCGTGGTACTCTCGTATTTTTACTAACAAAAATAGGATGTTTCCAATGAAGTCATCATGTAATGGATTGATGGGATTTGTGTATTCAAAGGAATTTACAATTAATACTATGGCGTTCTTACTCAAGGTTTCTACTCACCGCTCTCCGTGATGATCTAAAAGAGAATGGTTCAGATCATAGATCAAAATGCATCTTGGTTAATTTAATTTCATTCTCCGAAAACATCGTGCCCAAATGCTCGGAATGTAGAGTCCTAATCGTTTTCAATGTGTATGTCGGACAATACTCGGCTCGGTAGCACAGGAATGTATCGGGGATCCCACGGGAAGATGCCAAGTCAATTTACTATTTCCATAACAGCCTTTTCTCCTTTCATCAAAAAGTATTGGTCACTGCAGCAAGATTACTAACCCTCAATACAACATACCGGAATGGTCGAAATCTCTCCAATCAATCCCGATTGTTTACAGCTGTGGTACGATGAATTAAATCCAACAAATAGTAGAGATATGTTAGGAGGCATTTTGGTAGACTAGAGATGTACGATACCGAAAAGGGATCTCAAACAGAATGCGAGTTTGTTATTCATCAAAGTCTGGAGCATGCATGGAAGGTTGGCATGATGTCATGCGACGATGTATCATGTAGGTGCGGGGAGAAATGCTTCTTTGTATGGAGTGAATATTTAAGATTGAGAAAGTCCTCACTGTTTTGCAATAGACATATACAGTTCAATCTGTTTAGTTTTCAATCATAACGTTACAAAGTACAATAGTAGTAAACGACAATGTCAACGTCAACGCCTCATCCCCAACATGGTGTTCAATGTGGTACTAGTACTCCTCGACCAGGTCTTCTCAACACACCTGCACCTGGTGTACGTTCTCCAATGCTCTCTCAAAAATACAAATCATTGACATCATCTAGGTCCCCTTCTACACCCCTCTCCAAAGTCCTCCTTCAGGCACAGCCCTCCATCCCAGCCCTTCAACACCCAAACTCTTCACCCCTCTCAAAATCCGCTCTCTCACTCTCCAAAACCGTATCATGCTCTCTCCAATGTGTCAATACTCCGCTTCCAACGGCCACTTTACTCCCTGGCACATGGCTCATCTAGGCGGCATTATCTCCCGGGGCCCAGGTCTCTCAATGGTAGAAGCTACCGCCGTTTTACCCGAAGGAAGAATTACTCCTGAAGACAGCGGATTATGGTTAGATTCTCAAGGCGACAAGCTAAAAGAAGTTGTGCAATTCGCACATTCCCAGGGCCAATTAATCGGAATTCAATTGGGCCACGCCGGCAGAAAAGCAAGCATGGTAGCCCCATGGCTCGATCGCGCCGCCATCGCCACAGAGGCCGCAGGCGGATGGCCCAGCAAAGTCAAAGGGCCAAGCGCTCTTCCCTTTGACGAACATCATTGCACGCCTTCTGCCATGACACTCGAAGATATCCGAGAATTTAAAGATGCATGGGCCGCTTCTGTCAAACGCGCACTGAGAGCTGGATTCGATGTTATTGAAATCCATAATGCGCATGGGTATCTGCTTCACGAATTCGTGTCTCCGGTTTCCAATAAACGAAATGATGAGTATGGAGGGAGTTTTGAAAATCGCATTCGTCTCACGCTTGAGATTGTGGAACTCACGCGAAGTATTATTCCCGAGGGAATGCCGCTTTTTGTGCGGATTAGCGCGACGGATTGGTTGGATTATGAGGGGTTTGAGGAGGAGAGTTGGACGGTGGCAGATTCGGCGAGATTGGCGGGGTTATTGGCGGATAGGGGAGTGGATTTGATGGATGTTTCTTCGGGGGCGAATCATCCGAGGCAGAAGATTACGGCGGGGCCGGGGTATCAGGCGCCGTTTGCGAAGGAGATTAAGAGGGCTGTTGGGGAGAGGATGTTGGTTGGGACGGTGGGGATGATTGGGAGTGGGAGGCAGGCGGAGGGGTTGTTGAGTGGGAGGGGTGGGGAGAGGGGTGTAGATGTGGATGTGGATGAGGAGGGAGCGGGGAAAGGGACGGAATTAGATTTGGTGATTGTAGCGAGGGGGTTTCAGAAAAATCCGGGATTGGTGTGGGAGTGGGCGGAGGAGTTGGGAATTAGGATTATGGTGGCGCATCAGATGAGGTGGGGGTTTAGGGGGAAGGCGGGGGGGCAT